GTTCCTGTTGTCAGGAATCTCACAGCCATCCAGCAGCAGGGCTGAGCAGGGTGTTTTTCTCTCTGCAGGCAGTACTACGAGATGCTCTACAACACGGCGGACGAGCTGCTGAACCTGGTGGTGGACCAGGGCGTGAAGTACACGGAGCTGGAGTACATCTACGCCCTGAACCTGCTGCACCGCAGCCAGACGGGCGTGGGCGACCAGACCACGCAGAACATGAGGCTGCAGCGCCTCAAGGAGATCATCTGCGAGCAGGCTGCCATCAAGCAGGCCACCAAGGACAAGAAGATCACCACCGTGTGAGCCCCTCTGCCGCCCCCTCACCCGCCCGCGGCCGGCTGGCGGCACTTCCGAGTTTGTTTTTTGTTGGTTTTGTTCTGTTTTAATCAAAGAAAAAGTGGGAGTTTTCAGGGCATTGTGGTGAGGAGGGAAATGCCATTTGAGATTTGGGTGGTTTTGGTGTGTGTCCATGTAATGCTTCTTTCATGTTCTCCCAAAAGTGATTCCGCAGCAGGAGCCCCAGCGGGGTTTGGGGTGGGATATTCGGCTTTGCTCTGTTGCTGCTGCTTTGCCTTGAGATGTAAAGGGAGCTGTGGGGTGGGAAAAGGGAAAATGGGCTCTTGGAAGTTCAGACCACACTAAATAATCAGCACCCTGCCAGTCAGTGCCAGGCCTGTTGATCACACATGGGATCTTGATGGTTTGGAGATCTTTTTTTTGGAGCCTGCTCAGCTCTGCCAGTGCTCCCTCCAGGCTGTTCCCACGTGAAGTTTCCTGCTGTTTCCCCTGCTCAAAGCTGGGGTTGTTTGTTCCTTCAGGTGGTGATCAGGCAGTGCTGCACGTGGGAGGTGACACGGGACCATTTGTTTCCACTTCTCCTCTTTCATTATCCCGGAGCCATCTGGTGCCGGCTCCCTCAGCACCGGGGGGGATGCAGGAGAAAATTGCCAATATAAAATAACAAAATAACAAAAAAAGCTTCCTTTTCTTGTCCTGAATGTCATCTCTGAGTCCCCCCAGCTCCAGGGATATTTTGTGGCTGTCACTTGATGCACTGGAAGGGCTGGCAGGGTTGTGTAGCTCAGCACCAATGATCAGCAAGGGCAGGAGGGCACACCCAGGGCACACCCAGGGCACCAACTCTGCCCTGCCCTGACCCTTTAAATTCACCTGGAAAAATTCACCTCATTCCTCCAAACTCTGAATCCACTGCACTTGTATTTGCCACAAAAACTGGGGACCCAGCTGGGTTTCCTGTGCTGGGAAAGGTTCTCTCTGAGCTGTAGGTGCTTTGTGTGTCAACCTTGAAATTGCAGAATTAAAGGATGTTTAAAATCCCTGGTGGTTTGTCTGGCTGTTTTTAAGAACTCTCATTCCTGAGGTGTTTAAAAGATTCCTCTCCAGGCCCAAATTCGGTGTTCTCCAAGGCTCCACCAGTGTGGAAATGATTTTCTGAGGCACTCAGTCCAGCCCTCAGTGACCATGGACCAACTCCAGAGGCTTCTCACCATCCATGCAGGAAGCAGAACCCCTCAGTTCCTGTTGTTAGGAATCTTCTGAGGTTTTTTCCCCTCCTTTTATTCATAATCCCTCCTTTTTTTCCCTCCTTTTATTCATAATCCCTCCTTTTTTTCCCTCCTTTTATTTATAATCCCTGCTTTTTTCCCCTCCGTTTATTCATATTTTTCTCATGCCAACATTGGCCATTAACTGCAGGCATTCCTCCTTTTCCCTGATGGGTTTGAAGGAACGGGGAGAATTCCATGAGGGATGGTGATGGGAGGTTCCTGGGATCACAGATCTGTGTTCACCTGCTCAGACACGGCCACAAGGAGGTCCTGGAATGCTGGATGTTCCCTACAAGAACTTTGGGAAAGGGAAAAGGAGCTGGTTGGTACAAGGAAATGAGATTTCCTGTCCCTTGTCCTTGCTTGGTACAAGGAAATCCCATTTTGGACCCTTTGAGGTGTGGGACTGACGTGTGAGGAGCTCTGAATTCAGACTGGGCTGCTGTGTGCTGGTGTGCAATTGGTTAATTATTAATTTATTAATAATCTGAGGCTCTGCTTTGCTGGTCTCAGGCTTTGCAGTCCACATTTCCCTCCCACCCAGCAGCTGTGCTGGTGGGGGCTGGGACAGATTGGATAAAATCAGGAAAAACTCATCTTTGGGAGTATTTTTGAGTCTAAAACAAATGATTTAAACTGTTTTTCCGTGAGCTGCCCCTCACATTGCCCATGAGGAGTGAACAGGGCAGCAGGGACACGCAGGGACTCACCTACAGCAGGTGGAGAGGAAAGAGAAGATTTTGCAATTGAGGTAATTAATGTTTACAATTAACTGGTGTCTCCTCAAGAGCTCAGACTCTCAGTCCTCTCCAAGCCTTCACAAGGGACGTGAATATTCCAAGGGATCACACCAAGGGGAAAGGCAGGAGCAGGGTGTGGAATGTGGGAATCCAGACCCCAAACACCCCACGGACATTCCCTGCTCCAGCTCCCTCTCTACACCACACCAACATTGGACTCCATCATCTCAGAAATCTTTTCCAACCTTAATTCCAGGATTCTTCCTTGCAGCAGCATCGTGGAATCCCCATCATGGGATCCTCACGGAATATTTTTTCCTGGGAATGTGGAAAGAATTCATTCCAAAGAATGAAGCAGGTTTCCTTCCCACCAGGAGTGTAACACACCACGGATGCTGTGATTTTTGAAGCACAGAAATCAGGTTGTTTATCACAGAGACTTGTTCAGCCTGGAGAAAAAGAGGCTCAGGGGGCACCTCCTCACTGCCTACAACTCCCTTACAAGAGGTTGTAGCCAAGTGGGATTTGGTTNGTTTGGAACAGGAGCTGGCTCTCAGGAGGTGCTGCTTTGGGGAGTTAATAAGAAACAGATCTAACAACAATATTGGATATATTTTGCAGTGAAAAGCAGGGTTGGGAACAGGAGCTGGACTCTCAGGGGTTGCTGCTTTGGGGAATTAATGACAAACGGATCTAACAACAATATTGGATATATTTTGCAGAGAAAGGGGTGAAAATCAGGGCTGGGAACAGGAGCTGGCTCTCAGGAGGTGCTGCTTTGGGGAATTAATGATAATGGATCTACCAACAATATTGGATGTATTTTGCAGAGAAAGGGGTGAAAAGCAGGGCTGGGAACAGGAGTTGGGCTCTCAGCAGTTGCTGCTTTGGGGAATTAATGATAATGGATCTATCAACAATATTGGATATATTTTGCAGATAAAGAGATGAAAATCAGGGTTACAAAGGCAGGAACTGGGCTGCGAGGGCTCTCAGGGGTTGCTGCTCTGTGGAATTAATGATAATGGATCTAACAACAATATTGGATATATTTTGCAGAGAAAGGGGTGAAAAGCAGTGTTTGGAACAGGAGCTGGCTCTCAGGAGGTGCTGCTTTGGGGAGTTAA